ATCTCGCCGCTAATAGAGGAGGCTATGCCTGCAGTCTTTCTGCATGCACGCGCGACGACCGGGCTAGAGGCGGCACGAACTGTCCCGTGCACGGGCGCCTACCTCTTGTGAACTACAGTTATGGCGGCGTCACGCATGCGTATAACGCTTAAGGTGGATTTATTCGTAGTGAGCGCTATAGGGAGTATTCACTGACGGCCATAGCTGTGTGCGCGAATGCTGAGCGCGTGCTGATGGCGAACTTCCACAGTTCTTTTGCAACGTACATTCCGCACCATCAAGAGTGCCGGTCTTAGCAGCCTATTGATGTGAGCTCGTTCTGAGCATGCGCTCTAAACAGCACCCACAAATAAGGCGTCCAGTGAATACTCCCTATAGACGTTTCTAGCGCTTACCACCCGGGAGAAAAATGCCGTCACTGAGCGTTGGACGTATGCCCAGCGTCTGATATATACCGCACAAACGAAGCTACAGTACAAGGTTTTAAAATCGAAACTAACCCGCTGAAGTGCATCTGCAACGTCGACCCGTTCACTCTGCGCTTGCGTCGCACTGCTCACGTTACCTGTGGGGCGGACACCTGGTGGCGTAATCGGCGCAGAGCGGAAAGATCGTGTACGTGGTCACAGGTGCGCTTAGGCGGGTTTTAGTTTAAGTTTGAGGCCATATACACGCCTTTTATTTCGTTTTTAATTAAGCCTAATTCCCACGGTGCGATTTTACCTCCGATTTCGCAGTTGCGACGTCGCATCGTGGGGCAAAAAATAGCGTGGTGGAGGCTGAGGTGCAGAACGCCGCTGCTGCGAAATCGCAAAAGAATTCGCACCGCGTGAATCGGGCTTTAATTGGACTGAAAACGAAGTAAAATTGATAATTGACTTTTGTAAGACGTGCCGGAAACTGAACTATAAGAATGGCCGAAATATTTTTTCTTTTTCACTTAATTCTTTTTTTTTTTTTTTTTTTTTTGTTGCGAATTTTGTGTGGGGATCTTTTTGATCTTGATACTCAATGCGTTTCTCAAACCATCTTTCTTCTCAGCTAAACGTACTTGATTTTCTAAATACTGCGTAGTCCGTTCGCTTTCTAGAAGTGCCGTTTTTTTTTTATTATTTATCTTTTTTCTTAGGAACGTGTTTCTGAAAGTTGCCATCGGCAACCGTGTCAGTCTTCTCAAGAAGACCTTGATTAAACCTCTGCGGCCATGCGAAAGATCGATGGCCGAGTGTGTTAGCGGCAGCGCAGCTCAGTGCACTTGGAGCGAAAGCTCGCTCTGCAGAACCCAGAGATCTTGGGCCCAATCCCCACACTTCTGCCCGTACCGTACCGGCGTGGGGTCGTGTATCACTACTGCGTGATGCGCGTTAGAGACTCCCAGGCCAGCAGTCTAACTCCCCACTGTCTCAACAAACCCACGACGCAGTCATTTGGTTGTCGTATACCTGGCGTGAGGGCGCAGCAGCGGGAACAGCTCCTTGCACACGTTGAGTGTCGAGAAGAAGTTTGTCTTGACAGTGACCTCCGCCTGTTCCGCGAAGGGTTCCGTGGCACTTCGCTGCGTGCGCACGTGGGGAGAAATAGCTGGCATCAGCAACTAGCCCAAAATATAACTCTGTCAGAAACACAAAAGCAATTCCTATACATTACGTAAAACGATAGATGTGAGCCTATCCGTTTCATTGGTCGCTTACGTTAGAGGGCTCGTTGTACTCGGAGACGAGTTTAGAGTGAGCCAAACAAACACCACCAGATATCGGCTACGCGTCGTTGAACCAACCAGGAAAGGCAGTAATCGTGACGAGTTACACGGCGTCAACGCGACATGCGCACCTCGCAGACTAAAAAAAATATTAAAGGGACGAAAGAACGGTTTCGCCTCAAGCACTCTCGTCCCCCGGCGCACTAAAAAGGCAAATACAAGATTAAAAACAAAAAGAAAAACTCTTGCCTGAAAAAAAGAAAAAAAAACAACAAAAAAAAACGATCTTAAAAGAATTCCTTATATGTTTTTCACAAAGAATCCTTTTAGGGAATGCTTGAAAATAACTTTTTAGGGCGCAAAATATGCTAAAGGTGACATTCCAAGCTACGGCAACAAAACACCTTCTTTCTCTTCCTTTCCTTACAATACTCTGATGTTGATGCAAAACATGGATAAGCCGAAGAATTTCAAAAGATTCTTTTACTAGCAGGGTTTTTTTTTTTTTTTTTTTTTTTTTTTTTTTTTTTTTTTTGAGGGTGCGAAAGCGGATTTTTTACGCATTACGAAGGAACAGTGGCTAACGGTAATCAGGGTGCGTGAGGAGCTTCGGGCGCATTCCTTACGCCGTTTGAATAGCTATGTAGACCAAATAGACTACACTCCGATCCCCCCTAAGCTGTCGGTGAGTTGGAAGCTATAGACGTTTGTAAGTAGAGCCCCTGGGCGCCGCCATCTTGCTCCTGGTGTGGGTACATCGTCTGATGGTCAAGCATTGCTGAAGCCGTGGGTACGCCCCAGCAATGCTTGACTATCGTACAAGTTACCCGCAGCACCCGCAAGATGTCGGAGCCCAGAGGCCGCACTTGCAAACGTCTATATGCGCTCGCCGGACGAATCCAGAAACCCCCTTCCATCATCAGATTCAGTGTTGCAGGCGTTACCGAAAAAAAAAGTAACGAAATATAGTTACTTGCAAATAAAAGGAAAGCATTACCGGCTTCCGTTACCTCGAAAATGAAAGGAACGCATTACCGCTACTCATAAAAAGTAACACACGTCACGTTTGCGTTACTTATTTATGTATAAGTTAAACCGTTTTACTGTTTTGACGGTACCGCGGTATGCACCATAGTTTAAGAAATGTTGTGTCCGTGCAGAAACTTAAAAAATAGTTTCCTTAGCATTTTTTTACAGTTCCACCTGGACATTCGCGAAGAAAATGAAGGACAAGTGCAATAATTAATATAACTTGGGGCCTGGAAACACACACACACACACACACACACACAAATGAAGTGTAATCTTGAAATTTTCCGGAAGAATATGTAACGGGTAACGTAACAAAGTCACCGATTACTCAAAATAAGTAAGGTTACTGTTCTGAGAATGCAACGTTATTGTTCTGAAAATGCAACGAGTACGTTACCACGTTACCAAAGAAAAAGGAACGTGTAACCGGTAACGCCGTTACGTGCAACGCGTTGCCGCCAACGCTGATTGCGATCCAACTCTGCGTGCGGGAATGGGAGGGAGCGTGATCACGGGGTGGATCACGTGGTTATGGAATCAACCCCGTGGTCACGTGATCTGCCGTGTGGTCAAGATCACGGTGGTAGACGTGTGACTGCCGGTCCAGCGAGCACGTAGATTCCAGCGCATATGGTCAGTTTAGGGGTCCATTGTGTGTCACAAATCCTATATATATATATATATATATATATATATATATATATATCTTAGTAAAAGAAATCATTTGTATGAGAAATTTCTTGTGTCCAATAAACACATATGAATCATACAAGATATATAAGAACATATAATAACCATATAAGAATTATATGAGAACTATATGAGAAATATATAAGATATATAAGGACCCCATAAGAAACTTATAAGAAACTTCCCACTAGTTTCTTATATGGTGCTTGTATGTTCTCATATATCTGATATAGTTCTTATATAGCTCTTATATGGTTCTTATACGGTTCTTATATGTTCTTATATATCTTGTATGATTCATATGTGTTTATTGGACACAGAAATTTCTCATTCAAATGAGAATTTTCAATAGGGTATATATATATATATATATATATATATATATATATATATATATATATATATATATATATATATATATATATATATATATATATATATATATATATATATATGGGTGGTTTCATCTCAAATCGTGCAGGCAAAAAGGGTCGAATTTTTAATTTCGATGAAAAAAATATATGTTATGGCGCCGTTTCTAAAACCGCAGTCGCCAGAAACCGCAAGTTCGTCAGATGTTTTGTTCTCCACTTATGAATTTTTTAAAGAGGCCGCGGCGAAAAGCAGTGTTTTTCACACCCGTCGTGGGTCGGATGTTTCGCTTGATCTCCCGCCATGGATTTTCAGTCCACATTATATTATCGTTTTTCAAGCACTCTGTGGACACATTTAAAGGGCTCCAATACCATGAAATAATTTTAGGCGTTTTGCTTTTTTTCTGTAAAAATGTCAAAAACGCCTCCTCGGTCAATTGTTGACGAACTTTGACAATTAATTACTGGCGATCTACTTGGGTTACACCGATATTTTTTATGTCCACGGAGAGCCCAAAACACGCTCTTTATATTTATTATAAAATGACTCGGCTGTGTAAAATATCCTTTGCGGTACGTTTACGTTAATATTATGCAAAAACCAAAAAGTACCATTTTTGAAAGTGATTTTCTAAAAAAAAAAATTTTTTTTATTTTTTTTATTTTTTGTTCAAATGTAGATATGATAGTTGTCTACACGAAAATCAAGCCTAGAGAGTGTATATTTTGTTTGTATGTTTTATATTTAGGCCTCAATATCGGAAAAAGACGTCTTTGTTTTGCAAGACCTAAGTCAGACATAGCGACCCATGCGTCTCTATGAATAGTGAAAAAGTTTTCTTGAATTTTCTTCTGTATTTTGTAATCAATTATAAACGGATTTTGTGGTATTGAATATTTATGTATGTTTTGATAAGAGCGGGAACCACGAGATACATATCTAACCAAATCAGCTTTTGGTTATTGAAAGTCTGCAATCAGCAGACTTTCAATAACCAAAAGGCACAGACGTTGTATTGTTTCGATTTATAAACCTTTCACAGTAAACTAGCACGACTAGCTATTAGCTGTCATATTACTAAGACAAAGAAAGTCACCACATCGTCGATATATTATATACAATTCTTTCCGAAACCAAACACTGGGGGTTTGTTCACCGCACATCGCACAGGTCACCAGGGAATGTCCTGTCACTTCCGTAATACACAAAAGTGGTGACACAGAAACGGTCCGAAACACACAGAGAGTGTGTCATGGAGAGGGGTAGGAAATAAAAATAAATAAATAGGAATTAAATTGCCCAACTCCAATCTTAATGAAAATTGCGTTAAAAAAATAAAGTATTTAGGTTCGAGCGGTGGCAAGGCGATAGGTCCACGCCTGGTGGAGAGTCAGACAAAGACGTCGACGGCACGTAAAGGTAAAACAAATAAAAAATCAATAATTTAATAAAGACGGGAAAACTCAGCCGCACATGGCAAGAACAAAAACCAACTCCTCCGGGCATTCCCTAAACGGGACGCAACCAAATGCGTGCGAACACGCTCTCTACATCACCGCCAGGCCGCTACGCCATGACGAAATAAACCCAACAACTGAACAGTGATAACAAACAGTTAGTAGGAAAACATTGAAAAAAAAAAGTTCAGAAAAAACCGCACCCGAGAAACAAAGTTCAGCGGGGCGAAGAAACACGAGTCGGTCCCACGACAATGAAGTCTGGCAGGATGACGGCGTCCAGATGATGCTCGAATCTGTTCCTCCCTCTATTACGCACATCCACGACGGCTGTGCGGAACAGCGGCTGTACGAAAGAAAGTGAAGAATAGATTCTAGCAGGCGATGCGCGAGAAGGTAACCGAGACTATGCTTCCAGCTTCATATCGGGAGAGGAGCTTTCGAGGTAGTTTCTGCAGTTACTCAAACTTTCTCTTTCCCCTTCCCTTTTTCAAAAGAACACGTCAGCCGGCGCTAACTTTTCATCTTGGGAGAATCCCACTCTTCACAAATGATTATAGTTGACAAGGAGGCTGACTTCGACCCAACTAGTCTCCGGGCAGAATACAAACACAAGTATATTTACCAACACGCTCGTTTTAATGTCAGTCTCCCGGCTTTGCTGTTTCCAAAAGAGATAACCCTTTATAAGGACAGAACGAGAGGGTTGGTGGAGATAATTAAACTTAAACAGTCCCTTCTCGTTTTCTTCCTCAAGTTTAATAGATAACCCTTCGGTGCTATCGGATCTCCACGGAGAGAGAGAGAGAGAGAGAGCACGGCCGTTTCAAAGTAAGGATAGGGCGCTCGAAGCTAGGGCAGACGGGCGGTATCGTTTCACGCATGCACGGATGTCTGGTTTCAAATTTCCCCACATCCCTAACAAAACCGGCCCATCTTCGTATGTGCGTCTGCGGGATTTCTGTCCCGCGCCGCCGGTTTTAGCCCGCACGCGGCGTTGTTTTGGCTGGCAGAACAGTTGTTGACCGTCGATATTGTAAGGCCGTGGTGTCCTCATCCTTTTAGGCAACGATTCCTTTGCTTTCCCTTGTGCAATACTCTGACTGACTCCTCCTGGGAGGCTGTCACTGTTCGCCGTGTCAACGACACAATCGTACCATTTCACTCCTCGTGACACAGGGTGCGCTGCTCGCTTTACTGTCACGGGCCGTCCTATCGAACACAACGAGCGCGAAAGGTCGTGGTCATCTGCTGGCTCCGAAAGGGCGGGACGTTCATGCAGGCCAATGAGGGCCCCGAATCAATACGACGTCTGCCGACTCCTACACTTTAATAATTTACGACACCTGCTGGTCTGTTAAGAAGTGTTGCTTTCTCTTTTTGGAACTCCTCCGATGTAGCTTGCCGCCTATAATTAAATTTAAAAAATCAATAAATATAACACGGTGGAAATACTGTATTTCATTTTTATGTGGGAACGTTGAAAAAAAGAAAAAAAAACTATTTCCAAGCTTGTGAAGACGCGCAATTCGCAAGTCCATTTCGAGCCGTAAAAACAGGTTTTTGTACGATATTGATGCTTAAATATAGAACATACAAACAATATATACACTTTCTTGACTTGATTTTCACATAAAAAACTGTCATATCTACATTTTAACAAAAAAATAAAAAAAAATAAAAAATTGTTTTTTTGAGAAAATCAATTTCAAAAATGGTACTTTTTGGTTTTCACATAACATTAACGTAAACGTACCGCAAAAAAATATTTTATACAACCGAGTCATTTTATAATACATATAAAGAACGTGTTTTGGGCTCTCCGTGGACATAAAAAGTATCGATGTAACCCAAGTAGATCGCCAGTAATTAATTGTCAAAGTTCGTCAACAATTGACCGAGGAGGCGTTTTTGACATTTTTACAGAAAAAAAGCAAAACGCCTAAAATTATTTCATTGTATTGGAGCCCTTTAAATGTGTCCACAGAGTGCTTGAAAAAAGATAATATAATGTGGACTGAAAATCCATGGCGGGAGATCAAGCGAAACATCCGACCCACGACGGGTGTGAAAAACACTGCTTTTCGCCGCGGCCTCTTTAAAAATTCATAAGTCGAGAACAAAAAATCCGACGACTTTTGGTTTGTGTCGACTGCGGTTTTAGAAACGGCGCCATAACATATATTTTTTTCATCGAAATTAAAAATTCGACCCTTTTTGCCTGCACGATTTGAGGTGAAACCACCCATATATATACGGGCGGTTTCATTTGGATTCAGGCAACCAGTGGCAGTCGCGTATTTTTATTTTGCTTCAGATTTTTAGATTTCGTGGCGCATGTTCCAAGAATAACAATCCTTTCTAATTTTAATGCCCTATAATGTTTAGTTTCTGAGAAAAAAAAAAAAAAATCTCGAAGAAGCGGGCAAGAACGACGAGGTTTTGACGATTGTCGTGTGTGGCGTTCTTGAACCGCTCTCAATATCAAAGTATTCAAAACAGAGCTTTGACATTTTTTTTATTGTAATATATATGCAATTCTGTAAAACGACATTCCAACTACTATTAATTACTCGCCGATCCAATCTTTGTAAAAATCCCCAAACATGCCTCCTCGAACAACTGTGACCTAAACTGCTGATTTTTTTGTTAGTCGACTATGTTCAGTTTTGTTTTTAAAATAATACCACATGTAGAACCTTTCATTGCCTTCCACATTATGGAAAGTTTGGGTCTTAATCACGTACGAGTACTGAAAAATAGATTATGAAACAGAGAAGGTTTTTACTTTTTGTTCTTCAGCACGCCGTATAAAAAGTTTTTTTTTTTTTTTTTGCTTTGCGTTTTTTTTTTATATATCTTTCTTTCACCCAGAATACATTCCGTTACTGGAATGTATTCTGGTTTTGAGTTTTAAGCCTCTGAATATGCTAAAAAATTATTCGGTTCTGTTATCAACTTGAATTTCGCATTAGAAATATAAAATTTTGCAGTTAAAAACCGAAGTTTCCAACAGGAAGTGTACTTTACTCTAATGCTTTACAATATTAAACTTTGATATTTCTAACGTAGTATAGATTATGTAGCGCATAGGGTTTAGCCTTGAGGCCCCTCCAATCATGGCACCGGCGGAAATTGTCTTAAAACCCGCTTTCGGCAGTTGCGATATTTATAGTGTTTAGACGTTTGGAATTGCAACTTGTTATTATACGCCTAACGACATTCAAGTCTTTTATATGAATATTTATTCAACGTTCCTTAGATTATTATAATAAAGAATAAAATATACAGCTATAAGTAAGGCTCCGTGTCTTCGGAGAAATCCGGGAAACTGAAAAACACCCGCCGGTAAAATTTTTGTCAATTCGGATTTATCCGATAAACTCCGAATTGCTATGTGCCCATACCCCCCCCCCCCCCCCCCCACACACACACACACACAACAAAAAAAAAAGCTTTTTTTTTTTTTTTTACAATTTTAGCAGCGCAGTATCAATGGTCCTGGGAAAATGGCACCATAATTATCTTTCGAGCCTCGGACCGTTGTCCAAAGGGGGTCTTACGGCTTGTCTCGTCAAGGCTGGTTCAGGGAAACAGGTCATCGTACCATTCGTGTCACGACAAAAGCCACTTTTTTGGTTTCCACTCTTGGCCATGGGATGTGGGATTTGGAGAAAGGAGAGGGTATGTTTTTGGCCGTAACAGTGAAAGCTATGGACCATAGAGATTGTATAAAATAGGGGATAGGGGCAGTTGAAACTTCTCTACTACATCCATTAACCACTCCACCTCGCGCGGCCGCGGGATAGATTGATTGGATGACTACGAACTATCTTGCGGCTAGCTCCGGCAGTTTATTGATTTTAAGGTATCGACGCTAATTGAAGCCACATTTGTGTGCGACTTGTCGTGGGAAAAATTAGTATTGCCAATGACACCAACGCCAAATTCAACTGAAGAAATCTTCATTGATACAAGGGCGTTTCATTTTTTATCTGGCATACGTTTGCATCCGGTTATTATTTATTAGTTTTTAATAGGAAACACTGCGAAATTAATCTCCGAATTTCGGAAAATTGGGGATTTACGAAAAATAAACTCCAATAAACATCAAATTTTCGCTAAACAATAAACTCCGAAAAACACCCTCCGAATTTTACGAAAAATATACTACGAAAAAACGGAGCCCTAGCTATAACCCATAAACCCACGATCAGCATTTGCTTTTTTTTTTTTAGCATATTTAGAGGCTTAAAATACGAAACTAGTGCATATACCTCTAACAGAATGTATGCTGGCTAAAAAAAAAAAAGCAAAAACAAAACGCGACGCAACAAAAAAAAAACTTAAAAATGTTTTTTTTTTAATTTCTTTTACAGCGAGCTGAAATTTAACAAAAAGTGAAAACCGTCTCTGTTGCATAATTTATTTCTCAGTACTCGTACGTGAATAAGACAGAAACTTTTTATATGTGGAAGGCAATGAAAGGTTCTACACGTAGTAATATTTTAAAAATAAAAATAAACATAGTCGACTAACAAAAAAATCAGCAGTTTAGGTCACAGTTGTTCGCGCAGACATGTTTGGGGATTTTTACAAAGATTGTATCGGCGAGTAATTAATAGTAGTTGGAATGTCGTTTTACAGACTTGCATATATATTACAATAAAAAAATATCGAAGCTCTGTTTTGAATACTTTGATATTGAGAGTGGTTCAAAAACGCCACACACGACAATCGTCAAAACCTCGTCGCTCTTTCCCGCTTCTTTCAGATTTTTTTTTTTCTCAGAAACTAAACACGTCAGGACATTAAAATAAAAAAGATTGTTGTTCTTGGAACATGAGTCACGAAATATAAAAATTTGAAGCAAAATAAAAAATACGACTGCCACTCGTTGCCTGAATCCAAATGAAACCGCCCATATATATATATATATATATATATATATATATATATATATATATATATATATATATATATATATATATATATATATATATATATATATATATATATATATATATATATATATATCTTTTTTTTTGCGGTGGGGGAGGGGGACACACTTTGTATAGATGCTTTGGATACTTCGCCACGTCTTGCTTGAGGCTCTCAGGGACTATATTGTTTGCTAATTGTTCCGTTAGTTGGGCGAGGCCCTTAGCGTACGCGTTCTGGGTACCTTGTAAGCGATGCCTGCGTTGTTGACGAGTACGTCGAGGCCCCCGTAGGTGTCTTTCAGGTGGTCTCGGAGCTTCAGGACACTTCCCGGGTCGTCGATGTCCAGCTGGTGGAATTTGGGGTGGAGCAGCATCTGCTCCAGCTCCTTTACGGCCGCCTTGCCTCGCTTCTCGTCCCTGGCTGTTCGAGAGGAGCAGGACCACACTCCAAACAAACGCTTTACTTACTCGAAGAAAATCTGAGGGACCGAAATCCTAGCCCCCAGCGATAAAAATGGGAAATAATCATCTCAAACGCAGGCTCTTGTGAAGGGAGGGGCTGCGCACAAAACAAGATTTTTGCTTCTTACAGCAGTCTTGCCGTCAGTGTTGTTCTTCGAGTTTTGTGACTATGTATTTCTGACGTTCTTACACTACGATATGCGCGGAGGTTTCTAACAAAACGGAGTCTTGCAAAAAGCGCAGCAAACTCGCGTCGAACGCCGCCATCGACGCGATTTTGCGAACAATGACAACTGTTCTCTCTCTCTCTCTCTTTCTCTCCCGCCCCCCCCCCCCCTCCAAAAAAACAAAAAAGGTAATTTGCGTAGAGTCCTTCTCAGTTATCTTCAAAAATAGTTGTTCGGGTTGGGTTAGGGAACGGGTGAGTCACGTTCGCTCCTTTGGCTTGGTGCTGGTGTAAAGAAAGGAAGCTCTTCCCAAAACGTGCCCCAAAACGAAGTCCTCTTGGATTCCGTCAAATCGTCAAGATGACACTCGTCGACACTGTAGTGCTGTTTTATTTGAGATCTTTCTAAAAAAATCATTTCCGGATAACGCTGCTATGTGTAGTACGTAGAATATATTGTTCTACTGTTAACCCCTGCTAAATTGTATGTCCTAGTCCTGTCTATCGGTAAACACTTTATTTGCGCGCGTGAAATATACATGCCTTTCGGCTATCTTTTGCTGTAAATTATTTTCGACAGCTAAGCGCTTTGTCGTTTGACACGCGGCTGAGCGGGCGGCGCCGTCAAAACCTATATATCGTAAAATAAAACAATGATCCCAGTCGCATTCCTTCTGTCGCGCGCGTACCCCCAAAATACATTTACAGTTTTTGTTTTTGTTTGTTTCAAATGTGGTACAATGCTTTCTCAACGTCACCGGGAAAACACTTACACCACGAAACGCAAACAAACAGCGGGAAAAGACAAGGATTTAGCCAACAGCCGTGTTTGAAATGGCGTCTACGCTGGCTGCGACTATCGAAATCACGGTCCACTCGGTTAAGGTTAGCGGGGACGCCGGTGAGAGACTAGCCTCAAACCCAGTGCCTAAGTTCGAAAAGCGTTTCCTTGTCCCTAGGGCTGCGTTCGGCTTTGGGGTTTTCCCCTTGAGTCTGGAGGGGTGGCTGCCGCCAGGTTTATTTCTCAGTGTCTGTTCGTGATTTATATATGTGATGTGTTGTTTAAAGCGATAGCTTCACGGGCGACACTTTGCAGAGCTTTTGAGCTCGTGGGCTGTCGTTGCCGCTATGAAAAAAAAAAAACAATCTTTTCTCCCCTCTTGGCGCGAGGAGAGGGAAGTCGGGACTTCCCGTCGGCCGTCGTTGCCCGAAAAGAGGGAAGATGGAAGTCCTGGCGTCCCGCCAAGAATGGCGCAACGAAGGGAGAATCTTCCGGTCGTCTGCTTCAAACAATCGTTTCCAAAGATTCCTCGCTTTATGCGAAATTCCACTTCTGCAGCATCCATTTGCTACGCATAATGTTGGATGGTTTTAGAAACTTCTACCGCGCTTACCCACTTACTTCACGGAGCACTGGTGGCAGTCGTCAGTAACATCCACGATGCGAATCACCATGGCTGGGAGAATTAACCGCTTGGCACCTCCGTCCTAAAGCACGTAACGGCACCATCCCACCCGAATTGCGCGACCACAGCTATCGCTTTCGCTTCTTCGCACATTACGGGCGAAAAATACGACTGTTTTTCTTCTTTTATTTCCTGCTGTGCTACCACGCCCTGTGTGTGCTTTATTGTGAACATTAAACAATGTATCTTCCTACCTTGGCTGCTCCACATGGCTGTCGGTAGCATCAATAAGTAATAATACATAATTCGAAGCAGCGGAGACAACCGTCTCTTCTGCCTCGGTGAATCCGGTGTCTCGGTGCGTGGGCGACAGACCACTCCCTCGGCGCATGCGCGAAAGCGTGGACAACTTGGCGCGACGCGCATGCGCTCTATCGGGCGCGGGCTGTCCCCACCGCCAGGGGAGGAACTGCATGGTGCCTTATGCGCCGAGAAACGGAGGGAGAGGGGTAGACGAGAGCGGGCTGGGACGTCAGAACGCCGAGTTCTGATTGGAGAGATTAGTGGGTAGACCTAAAGCAGTAGCTGCCTTTGTCTCCACTGCACTCGTCGAACGTGTTACAACGCGGAACGCGGGCGTCCGGCCTTTGGCTCTTGCATTTGAAGGCGTTCGACGAGTGTACTGGACACCAAGGCAGCTGTAGCTCTAGGTCTACCCATTAATCGCTCCAATCAGAGCTCTGCGTTCTGACGTTCCCGCGCGCTCCCGTCTCCTTCTCTCCCCCAGATTTTCAGCGCATTGCGCGCTGTCTTATGCAACTGAGCGGAGTAGAATGTATCGGATTCCTATACTTCATGCCACCCTAAGTTCAGACGCAGCCAGCGCCATAAGTTGATGGTACCAATCAAGCCAGCGTCACAGACGCAAGTTACTCGACCTTTTCTGTTCATTATTGGTTCAGCGATGATAGGAGACGTACGGAAACATGACTACGATGATGGTGCGATGTTTACGCTGTCTGAGTGATCCCATGAACTCGCAGAGTCGGCTGCGTCTGCTCTCAAGTGCTTTTGGTAGGAGCTTGTTTTTGACGGCATACCGATTGTTGGGCAATAGAAATAACGACTTCTCGACGGAAAGACGTCCTAGTAAACTTACAGCAATGGAAATATACACAGGCACTATTTTTTTATTGGGGGAAAGGGGGGGCATCTCAACCACCACCTGAATAAAAAAAGCCTAAGTGCCGAATTTTCCTGTGCCACTAAAGAAGGCCACCATGTGCCCGAGATTGGACACGACTCCCAGCCGAACGATCACGGCCGAGGTCGTGTCCAATTCCTGTGGCCTATACGGTGACCTTCTTTAGTGACGCGGGAAAATTCAACATTCAGGATTTCTTATCCAGAAGGAGATCCCGAACGTACTCTTTTTAGGCGCGTTGTGCATTATATTTGGACAAAAACGTCAAATCATTGGGTGCAAGGGGCGTAATACAGCAAATATTGTTCCCTTTCCCGCAGAACACGGAGACATCCAACCGCACAACACGGAGACATCCAATCACGGGGTACGAGACCAGGATCAGGGCAAACAATTGTCGGGGGATAGTAAGCGACGCAGCTGATAATACGATCAGATCAGAAAAATCCCATCTGCGCTGGGACAATGCGTGTCCAGGCATCGTATTGCCTGGTCTAATCAGTTTACGAGCGTCGTCATTCGCTGCGATCTTGTTGTTGTTCGCCGTGATTGACTGTCTCGTGTTGTACAGAAAAGTGAACTCACAGGCCTTTCTTTTTATAATGCAAAACTTTGAAACTTTTTTTTTTTTTTTGTTACAGTTGTAAATTTTGTATTGCCGAATGCTCATCTCCGCCCGAATGTAGCGCTAGCGGGGTTCAAACCAGATGCCTAAGTTACCGTTATCTCGTTCAAAATAGCTTAGGTTATTATCTGAACATTTCTGGAAAATGGAGCACGCGTTTTTGCCCGCGGATTCTGTAACTGGCGCCAATATTCAGCTCCACGTATTCGAAAGCTCCGTCGGCCGCCGTTTTCCCATTAAAAATTTCAGATCACGCGTAACTCTCGAATGAGCGTAACTGGTTAGTTCTGAAACTTTGAAATCTGGTTTGTACCGCTAGCGCTACGAGACCCAATAATGAGGCTGCAAGTACGCTTGATAACGGGTGGTAGCTTGCGCCACCTATAGCCTAGACGTAGTTTTAAACCATTCGCTCCGTCTGTAGATTTCAGCGATTGCAGGGATCCCAAATGCCTTGCGGGAAAGCATAGACGCTACTATTTTTCAGACTGACATCTGCACTGAACAATTACCTTTTTGAAGCTTGGCCGAACAGCATCGCTCCGAATGTAGTTCGAGAAAATGAATGTGTGTACTGTTTCCCGTAAGTGCGGACGAGGCCGGAAGCTACAGTGGCCCGCACTGCACTCGCACATTTTAGCGAAGGTGATTCTTCCTGCTATTGTTTTACTGCGATAAATAAGAGACGATAACCTGTTCCCTGAAGGGTGCCTAATGGGGACTTTAAGAATTGGTACCCATGCGTATTACATAACGAGTATAGCCTTCTTTATGTTCGGTCAGATGGGGAGAAACAACTCATCACTCAAAATTAACCTACAACACTTTAATAATAATAATAAAAGACTTCAGTTGATTAAGGAGCCTAATTTACACCATCCAATGTATTTCCTAAATCGATAATAGTATTTTTTCACAACACAGAGTATACTGTATACGCGAAACTAAGAGCAATACTTTTTTTTTTTTTTTTACCTGTGAGGTAGACATCTCCATCAAACTGTTGGCAGAGGAATTTAACGATGCTGAGTCCAATGCCCTTGTTGCTTCCGGTTACCTGAAGCGAAAAAAAAAAAGTAATTTTTGTAGGGAGACAAAAATATAAAGCTGCAGGTCGCTCTCCGGTGAGGCGGTTCGCGCAAGCTTCGGCAGCGCGACGACGGCGATACTCGCACGTGCTTTTCGCCAGTATTTCTACGACCAACCGCCAGGATCGCGTCATCCGACAGTTGGACGACAACACTCCGGCTTCTGTGACGTCATTTGTTGCCACTTGAGGACCCCTTTTGGCGTATGGGCGGTATGGGACGTTAGACAACACACCAAGTCGGAGATACGGTACATGGCACCATATATAGTGACACATGCTCATACAAGAGACAGTCTGCAGTCACTTTTGGAGGCAGACATTGTCATACAAGAGCGGTTTTGCCGACGTGTTCGAACACACACACGTATGTATGAGTAGTAGTAGTAAGCGTTGTAAGTCGTATGTATGAAGCAAACATAACACGCTTGTGGTGGTTCCACAGACGATTCTGCCATCGTGTACGTCGCGGACATCGTGCCTTCTGTAAGGAGGGGCAGTGCGACTGCGCGGCTTTACACCGTACTCGGAGCGAAATCCCGCACAGTGCAGTCACAACAATATCGATTCGCATCTTGCCAAAAAAAAGACAAAAAAAAAAAAAAAAGGACACTAGTTTCGTTGTGTAAAGTGGTATCCGAAAGTTCCCCGGACTGGGCGTACAGAACGTTTTATTGTTATCGCACATCCGTTTAGTCTATATAGTGTCATTCGAAGTAGTCCCCGTGGGACTGAATGCATCTGTCCCAGCGTGTTTGCCAGTCTTGGAACACTTTCTTGAAGTCGTTTTCCGCGAAGCTGTCAAGGACCTTTTGCGCTTCTTCTTGAGTGATGTCCACGGTGTCGAAGCGACGCCCTTTGAGCTTCAACTTCATTTTCGGGAAACGAGGCGAAGCCGCAGGTGGCAGGCAATACCGGGTCGGTTTAGGGAGTATGATTGCCAAGGTGTTCTTTGCCAAAAAGTCGGGGGTTTTGAGGGAGGTGTGACTGGGCGCGTTGTCATGATGCAACGGTCAGTTTTTGTAGCTCACCAAAGTTCAGGTCGTTTCCGGCGGACGTCATTTCGCAGGCACCGGAGTACGTCAGAGTTTAAATATGAATTAACAGCCTGCTTTTTGAGAACGTATTCCCTGTGGACTATCCCTTTTGCATCGAAGAAAACGATGAGCATGGTTTAGGTAGCGCATCTCGCTGTTCTTGCTTCTTTTTTTTTTGGTGTCGGTGAACACGGGCTTTTCTTTTGGAAAGATTGCCGCTTCGTGTCGGGGTCGTACCCGTAAACCCACGATTCATCAGCAGTGATGACCCTCTTGATGCAGATTGCGTCTGCACGTGCATTGGCGCGAAGTTCCAAGCAGACATCAACAAGCCGTTGCTTCCGGTCGGCAGTCGAGGAACGAACTTCACGGCGACGCGGTGCATTTGCGTATGTTTAGTTAGAATTGCTTGGCATTGCGCGTGGTCCATTCCTACCATTTCACACAGTTCGTGAATGGTTCGGCAAAGCTCCTCTCGAATCAGTTCTGCAATTTTTGCAATATTCTCCGGTGCTGGTTTCTGGACGCGTCCCGAACGCTCGCCGTCTTCCACTGAGCTTTCACCGCCCTTGAAGCGAGAATGCCACTCAGAACACTGACTGCGTCCCATAGCAGCATCACCGTACGCCTGACGAAGCATTTCCAGAGTTTCCGTGGCGGATGTACCCGACTACGCAAAATTTCACGCAAACCTGCTGCTCATGTTTTGCGTTATTTTTCAAAACACAGACGATTTTGACATTGTATTATCACTCTACCGGCGAATGGAGTCTCCTTTCACCCCTCCACTTGATACGTACACTCGTGTGAATGTACTATCGCCACGCCACTTGACACATCCACTCGTGCGATATGCGTGCAGTAATATCTAACGGCACGAACGCGTAGTTTTCTTATTTCCCACATAATGACACCAGTCCGTAAACTTTCGGGTACCACCTCGTATTTCCTTGTCGTCCTTCTTCTGTCCCTCTAATTATGGCAGAGTCCCACTAGAGCGACAAACAGAAACTACCAACACCCTCAAGCCCCCAAGTACGTATGCAGCAAGCACGTGAAGGTATCTTTGGCGGGCTTGTAATCACTCGTGCTTACTTCACGAGCACTGAAAACTGCAAGTCTGCCAAAGGTATACCTTCGCGTGCACGCTGCACGTGTTCGAGGCTTGTCGATGTCGGCTGTTTCTGTTTGTCGCCCTAGTGGGACCCGGGCGTAACCGCCTCACCTTCGTGCACAGAAACGAGATTCGATAGAACTGACGCCGTGCGTCGTGCCGACAGCAGCGCCATCGTAGTGGCCTGACGTGAAAGTCGTGCGTAACGATTGCAGCCGTTTTGGTCTCTAATGTATCCGTGGGTGGGAACAACATGCGATTGACGACCGATATCCACCTAATCGCCGGACGCTTTACAAGTGTACGTCGTCTTTCCCGATCGATATTTTCCATCAATACGGAGGGCTCAGATTGGACACAGATTGGACTCCGAGCACCTAAAAGGGATGGTGTGCCATCCCGTCACCACCTGGAATAATCAAAGCATGTAAACTATAGCATTTCAACGTCATCTGCTGTGAGATTGAGCGCAGGGCTTAGATTGGACACGAGTGATGACGTCAGCGTTCGGCTCAAATTCGTGTTTAATTGATGTGTCGAGGAACGCTCGGCGCCGGGCTCAGACCTAATAAACCCTTTCCGAAATTCAGTCTGCTTGTTTTGATCATTATCAACGACTGAACAATGGCTTATGTCGTACTAATGGCGGCCTTCTGTTTACTGATGAAGGAAGAGGTTGAAAATGCTCCCCAGCTGATGATTCGAGGCCTATACAATCGAGACGTTAACACGATCCGAAGCGGGCATTGAATGCAAGAGCTGCGTAAGCTTTGATTTCCAACCCGGATGCATTCAATCTGCGAGTAGCACGCAATCGGTTGCAAAGCTCATTGACGGATACAACTTTATCAAGGCGTCTGTTTGGGTCGGGTCTTTGTTCTGACTAGTTGTATCTTTGTGACTGAAAGATATCGAGAAAGAACTGTACAGTGAAGAGCACAATCTCGTTTGCCGTTGACTTGCGAAAGTGACGGTTCCGGCCGATGAAATACTGCAGACCACAGGTTCATTGGCGCCATTAGTACGGCAGCAGTTAAACTGCCGCTTGAGCCACCAGGTTGCACTGAATTTCGGAAAGGGTCTATTGCTGAGTTGGCGCTTTCTCAGGGTGCTGACGTTAGGTGGAAGAACTTCGTTCTTTAACACGTGCGCCAATTTTGCTGGATCTCTGCGAGTGTAAAGCACGATACGTCACGAGCCCTCTTAAGCGCCACCGTCTACCTCCTGTGAACTAAAGTTATGGCGGCGCCACGCATGCTCCCAACTTTTAGTGAGATCGGTCTATTGGTGGTTAAACGTTTCATCTACATTTCAAGTAGCGATGTTAAGAGGGGACACTACCCAAAAAAAAGAAGTAAACGCTTGAACCATTTGTCTGATTTAATGACATTTACAGGGCTTGTTTCTGTTGATGTGGAGAACATTTGTGCCAAAGTTTGTTAACCTGAGTGAAGTACGAAAAACATTGCAAATGTTCAAAGATAAAAGCGGGCGGGCCTGCGTAGGAAAAATGTCGTTTTGAAATTACTCATAAATTTGTCGTTTTCACGTGTTATATTGCTTAAGGACAGTTCAGAGCAGATAGCTATGGAGCTATATTTCTATATTATACCATCTTTCATGACAAAAAAGCCACATAAACACAAATACTATTTTCTTTTTAAATTTCGATCCTTTGTCTAAAATTTTAATTCTTGAGCATGAAAAATGACAAAAAAATAATACAAGCACATAGCTATCTTTCCTTTAAAATTTCACTACAGAAAAAACTCATAAAAATGAATCCAAGTTACGTAATAACAAAACGATAGTTTTCCTAAATTGAAATTTATGCCAAAAAGTGGAATGGAGAAAAATGCGTTCAAGGTGCTCCAACCACTACGTTTTCTTTAGCATCGGTGAACCGAAAATAATTTATAAAAAATTAACTATGCACTGTAAACTAATGAAACTTTCTGGGAATACTCTCTGGATGTTGGGGGATATAAATATGACATTTTTGACCATAAATTTTTTTCGCAGAAATTGCTTTTTCTGGGTAGTATCCCACCCTTAAGGTGGCCTTTGTTCATTTTTTTTATAAACCGGAACTTCTCTGGGACGTCAAAGAATGGAGCACCACCTGGTGGCGTTTTCCATAAAAAGGGTCTATAGTGCACTGGGCAACCGTTGCAGGTGATACCACAGCTTCACTGTAAAACCAGCTGCACAACGTAAATTGAAGCCCCAACTTTCTTTTTATTATTATTATGCGAGAAGGTTTTTAGGTCCGACACTCAGAAAGACAGACGCCATTGGTCTTAGAGCGCTACTCCAATTTGATCGGTGTGCAGACAGATATTCGTAGCGACCTTTACTTATTGCTACGAGGTCAAAATACGATTTTTTTTAGCTTTATACTACCGAAGGTCCATTTCAGTAAATGAGTAAATAAAAGAAATAAGTGTAAATTTGAACTCCGAACACAGACGCAGACAAGCGACTATATCTGATGCGCCACATGTGAATTTAAGCATCGTCACAGAAAGCAGACGACACAGGTGGAAGGTCTATCGGCGGGAAGTTTGCACAATCGCGTTTTTCCTTTTTTTTTTTTTCACTTTCAGCGATAAGCTCCCTGTACACGTTTGATTCGAGATCCACGTTAAACCACATGGACATTTTGCGTTATCTCTCGTGGCGAGCAGACGACACTATCGTTTCGGTCGTCTGCGTCTCCGTGATTTAGTTTTTGTTTTTACTGAAGCAAGAAAGTAATGACCCAAAATACCGCAAAAACAAAAAAAAAACAGAACATTATTAAAATTCACCTTTGGTGAACACTTCAGAGCGCTACGTCCAGAGACCGATGTCAGAGAGAAGTCTGACGAAGAACGACAATAAGTTGTCTTTACCTCGTTAAGTAATTAAAAAAAGAGAAGCTTCCTTTTTTATAGCTTTATTGTTTATTTAAATTGGATGTCGAGTATTTGAGTACTTTATTCGACCACATTTTCATCGAAAACAATATGGCGATAGTAATCCATGAAACATTTTTAGGGTAATGTAAATACAAAATCGATACAGTATGCCCTCACCAAAATTAAAAAAAAAAAAAAGAAGAATGCGATCTTGGCTTTTGACTTTCGCTACAAAGAATAAGGCTATGGCTTTGGTAGCTGCAGGTAAAGTGACGAACAGCTCAAGAAAGGGAACGCGTGGTAAGTTTCCCAGCATCTCATTATCGCTCTTCGGCCAATGAGGTTGCCGCCTCACCCGATGCGAACGCCGGAGAGCCGATCATGAAAGGACGAGTCAAAACCTGACTAAGCTGTACAATGTCGCATTTGTATAAACGCGCGAGCAGTACGGAAGAGTGCTGGAAGACCACCGCGCAATAAGCATCACATGACCTAGACATAGATTCTCGCTCTCGCGTATTCATCACGCGGTTACACAAGAGAGAACGTAGCAAAGGGCGGAAGATGTAATTTTGTATTTTTACGCTTGTCACGTTGCCTACCACCAAGGTCACCGCCGTCCGGTTTCCGCATCGTGAATTCGTGCAATGAAAAAAAAAAAAAAATGCTCCATTCGTTTGCTTGGTCGCACGTTGCTGTTCAAGTTTCGACGTATCGTTTGAAGTATAGTCCCACTACGAAGTGTACAAACTCACCACAGCGACCCTCGGAGACATGTCGGCCGAGAAATTTGCCGATATCGTTGGCGGACGAAAAAGCAGACGGCCACGGGCTACACCTGCGCACCAACGCCCAACCAGCCGCAACCTTCCGGATTGAGTACCAACCGGGGAGTGAGCGTTTCGGTTTCGTTACCCGGGCGACGGCCGTGACGTTATGCAACATGTAGACCGCTTCGGTAGATAGATTATAGTGGTGGCATTCTTGGTAAGTGGCGGTAGCTTGCGCCACCTTGCGTTCTAAGATAACGTCTTTAACGCTCGAGCAGAGGGCATCGCCCAGGGTTAGACTTGAGAAGAGAGAGAGAGAGCGGGGGGGGAGGGGAGAGGGAGGGGGGAAAGGGGTCCCAGTTTTTGGAGTTGGAACTTGGGACGTGCGGACCGGCGGAGAAGTCAAACTCCGTTTCTTACTGTACACAAGCTTACTGGCACAGATGTAAACCATGTATACTCGAACAGAATGAATTCGCCATTAGACACATCCTTCGTACTGCATCATCATTATCACCTACAAGACAGGCCTCACAGGCATTCATTGCACGGGCTGCATGCCTCTCTGTGTCGCCTGCGCTTATGAGTGTTAGGATTTATTTATTTATTTATTTAAGTACCCTCAAGGCCCTGGGGCATTACAGAGGGGAGTGGTACAAGACAAATTTGGAACACAAACAATATACAAACACTAAAAGCCAAGCACGAAAAAATGTAAAAAAAAATATGTAAACAAATTAAGAAATGTAAAAAACAAGGCAAACAAACAAAGAGAGATATTAACATAGGTAAGTAGTCAACGCACTTTTAAACAAGTCAAAGGATGGTATGTTTACTAATTGCGCGGGAAGGCGATTCCACTCTGAAGATGTCCTTGGAATAAAAGAGTTATAATAGGCTGAGGTAATGCAATGAGGAATTCCGACTTTAAATTGATGATCTACGCGCGGCGAGATGAAAACAGGATTTAACATTAGTTTGCTTTTTAGCGGAGTATTCGAATGATAAATTTTAGAAAAAAGACACAAACGAGATATTTTTCGGCGTAATGAAAGAGCAGGAGGTGATAAATTAGTTTTCATAGTTGAGACACTAGATGTGCGATGATAGTTAGTAAATATAAAACGGGCACCGCGATTCTGTAGGGCTTCAAGATCAGTCACGAGAGTTGAGAGACCAGGATCCCAAATTGCTGCTGCATAGTCTAGTTTGGAACGGACAAGGGTTTTATACATTAGTAGTTTTAGGGACACTGGGGCTAACCTAATGCTTCTCTTCAGGTAACCAAGCATGGAGTTAGCGTTGGCGATAATGTGGTCAGTATGAGTTTTCCATGACATGTTAGAAGTGATGTGCACCCCAAGGTACTTATAGCATGGTACAGTTTCAAGAGGAATTTCAACGATTGAGTAAGTAGGAGATATGGTAATTCGACGGGAGATTGTCATCGCTTTACATTTGTTAGTATTGAGGGACATTTGCCACAAATCACACCAATCAGCCACAGCTTGTAAGTCATTTTGAAGAAGTTCGATGTCAGTAGTATTAGTGACTTCTCGATAAACTACACAATCATCAGCAAAGAGGCTAATCGATGATGATACACACAGTGGTAAGTCATTTACGTAAATTAAAAACAACAGGGGCCCCAAAACAGACCCTTGCGGTACACCAGAAGTAACAGGTTTGATAGAAGAATTTACATTGTTAGCATGAACGATCTGAGAACGATTAGCTAAAAAACATGTAATCCAAGACAGCACGTTAGGATCGAGATTGAGTTGACTGAGTTTAGAGAGTAAACGTTTATGAGGAACTTTGTCGAAAGCTTTGCAGAAATCTAAAAAAAACACAGTCAATCTGGGATCCACGGTCAAGTATGGAAAGTACATCATCAGTGAAGGTCAGTAGTTGGGTCTCACATGAAAGGGATTTACGAAAACCATGTTGGGATGGAGAAAAGAAGGAATTAGAGTCCAAGTAGTTAACCAAATGAGTGAAAATTATGTGCCCTAAAATTTTACAAGGTTATGATTAAGGAAATGGGGCGATAGTTAAGAGGACTCTGTTTATCGCCCTGTTTATGGAGTGGAATCACCTTCCCTATTTTCCACTCTTTAGGCAATACACCAGATGCAAGAGATTGCTCAAAAATCTTAAAAAGGATCTTTCTTCTCTTCTCTCTCTTCTCAACTTACAAGAAAAAAAACTGATTTAATCAGAAAGCTTTACATTTCGTTCGGTATCGTCCAGGCTCGTGTATCACCATCCTCCTCGTCCCTCTTCCTTTTCTTTTTCTTACTCGCACTGCTAACAAGACCCACACGTCACTGCAATTTTCGATATAATCTCGAAAGTATGCTGGAGGCCTTCAAGCATAGGTGCTGATGTTGCATTCTGACTTGTATGCGTCCAATTCATCTCCGTTGTGCGCTGAACTAGCTGGCTGTTTAACACCTTCGGGAGATTCCTCTGGGAAGTTGAGCATGTTTTGCAGCGCTTCTGTTTGTTTCCACATGGTTTGCTAGCGCTTGTCCTACAGTGTCTGATAGCTCGACTGCCTCGATATCTCTTGCGACAAATCTTCGTAGCTGTTGTAAATTAGCTAGTCTTGAGTGGGATCTGCCCTCTATGGTGACGGCTTTTTTCAGCAACACAGTATTGCTGACTTTGCATTCTGCGATTTCGTACGATCCTTCAAATAAAGAGTCCAGGGTTCCACGCAGAGATGCTTTGATGCAGTATACTAAGTCACCGACGTTAAAACAAGGTGCCCTCATGTCGGCTTCGTACCGGGCTTTCGCCAGAGTCTGGCTATTTTCCACATTGAGCTTTACAGCGCGTTGGTTCCTGGCAAGGTTGAGCTATCTTTCGGGTTCGGTGAAGTTACATCAACGCTTCCAGTGTTTAATTCGCCTGGAAGTTTGGGATCATACCCGTGCATTAGCCAGAAAGGACTGTATCGCGTTGGGCTCTGTCTCGTGACATTAACGGCGGTTACTGCATCTTGCAACGCGGTAAGCCAGTCGAGACGATTGTCCACAAGTTTTCGTAGGCCTTGTTTGATTGCTCCTACAATTATGTCGATAAGACCGTTTGCTTCGCGCCAATATGGTGAAGATGTGTGTGTCACACCGAGACGCAGATGAATTATTTCCGTGTTTTGGTTCACAGATCCTCTTGCTTGGTTTGTGATGACAATTTCCCGGACCCCAAATCCGGGGGTTTCGTCTTTTCGTCAGGAAGTTGATGTAGATTGGGTTGTGTGTGTGTTTATACAGCCTAGAACTTGGTCTGCCTCACAGGGGCGACGAGTCTCCCAGCTGTAGATGAGAAATTTAGCCAGTGCGGTACAGCCGCTAGCCTGGGGTCTTTAACGTGCATCACGCAGTAGTGATACACGACCGCACGCCGGTACGATGCTCATCCAGATCGAAACGGGCAGGGGTGGGGCTCGAACCCAGGATCCCTGGGTTCTGCAGCGCGAGCGGAAGTTGATGTACTGCATGGAAACTGTGCTGGGGACAGCTGATGCGTCGACGTAGCGTGTAGCGTGTTCAATGCATACCAACGTGGGTATTTCCTTCTTTCTATACTATTGGCCCAAAATGATCAAGCAAAATCACTTTGTCTGGTTCGTTAGGAATATCTCTTAGGTTAAAGCAGTGTTGGAGGTAACGCGTTACTAGTAACGACGTTACTGGTAACGCGTTACATTTTTCGCTAACGCAGTAACGTACTCGTTAGTATTCTGAATGACTAACGAGTAAAGTATTTTCGTTACTTTTTTGCGGTATCGGCTCTCAAATTTCGTTACTCGTTACTCGTTACTTTTGACCAAAACTGTTGACATCCTGCACGAGCTTATCTCAAAATCCTGCACCAGCTTATCGCTGCACAGAACCAGCATCCCTCACAGTAAACTTAAAAAAAAAACAAAAAAAAACTCACTTCTTGAAGGCGAGAAAAACCTGCGGCTACCAGCTAATTCCATTCATCCTTTTTTTTTTCATAGTGTCACCACCCACAAGGCGTTACAGTCTCCTCCCCTTCCTCCTCTCCCCCCCTGCTGCTTTGTGCAGCAGAAGTAGACAGCGGGGGGGGGGGGGGGGGGGGGAAGCCGTGGAAAGACATCCGTTTACAACAGTGGACAACTCGTGGCATAGCCTCCTCTATACGGAGAAAGCCTGACACGTCACGAAAAAAAGTGGCCGCCGAAAGTAGGAGAGGAGGCGAAGGGGAATCGGGAGCGGAGGGAACCTTCTTTGCTAGCGCCACGTAAGAGCGAGCGGCCAAACGCAGAAACAGTCTTTTTTTTTTTTTTTCTGAATCGCGGAGAGGAGAAACTCGACGTCAACCCTTTCCCTTCGCCATCCCTGCGCCGCAGCCGTTTCTCCCGGAGCACGAAAACGACGGTGACGAAAACACGAAAACAAACGTGGTTCGGGGAGCGGCCACTCACGACCCAAGCGCTCGCGGACTATCTCTGCCCTTTCTGCTCTGCGCTACCATATTGGTCGCCGCTTCGCGCGCTCCTCCTCTCCTTTTTTCTGCGGCCGCGCTCCCTATGGCTCTGCCGTCGATGTGCCAGGCTTAAGCGATTTGCTCATTTCTCTGGCTAAAAAAAAAAAAAAAAAAAAAAGAAACATTTCTTGTGGAATATTTTTACCCTCGCTCTCCCCCTCGCTGCCTGAAACTTCCTGACCCACTTTTGTACACAGAAGTATCTTTCGCTTGATTAGTCTTTAATTCCCTAAGGTCATGATAAAAAAATTAAAAAAAAAGTTTTAAACCTGGAAAGAAAATTTACAAACACGAAACCTGTTTTTTTTTTTTTTCGCAGAAAAATTAAGAGGTACTGCTGGTAAGAGGCAGCAAGTGATCATAGCCAGTGTGCTGGTAACCGGTGTCCTGTTCTAGATAGTGAAGTAAATCAGTCTCTGGTAATAGTATGAACCGGACTGTTACTAAAACCGGCGTACAGATGAGGGGTGTTGGTTGGCTGGTTGTGTTCCAGCAGTCCTCGTTGGCATGCTGTAGTTTATAAAAGCCGATTGACTAACATCTCCGACTCATTCTGCGCGTGAGATGGGCATGAATAACGAAAGTCCGTCGCCATGGCCAGCAGGTCTGAATA